TTGATTTCTAGAAGTCCAACTGATTTTGGATACATGTCAAAGCTAGTGGGAGCATAAATGTTATGCTAGTAACAAAATAATTGTTATGCTAGTGGGAGCATAATTATTATGGTAAGTGTTGCGAGTTAGCAATACTATTTATAGGAAACAAAGTTCTAATTTGCAAAGTTGCAAAGGTTGAAAAGTTGTTTCACTATAGTAAGGGAGAGGATACTTATACTTTATTTCGAATCTAAAAGTGTAGATTGAAGTATTAATCAAACTTAGTCATGGATATATATGAATACCATGTTGAAATATTTCAACATTGGAAATTCTATATATGAAAATATTATAGCAAGATACTGGTCAAGTATCATGTCTTTATGTAAGACATTATGAATCGTGTCCCATATGCTACGGGTATAGGATCGATTACATATGCTATAATATTCATGTGTTCTAATTTTCCAAATGCCTAGGGCATTAAGAGGGAAAAGGACTAGAACCGGATATGACTAAAGTGGTTAGACAACTGTCAAGGACAATCTAAGGTTCGCTAAGGATTGGTCACTTGTGGGCAGTTGGAAGTATAGTAATAAATGGACCATGTTGAGATGATTCTGAATAGATAGGATTCTGTTAAGAATAAATTGTTATATGGAAAATATGGAAATGTTTCCATATTGGGAGTTGGATGTTGAGAATCTATATGTAGGTTAGAAACTGTAATGCAAGAAGGATGTTCAAAGGAATGTACTTTGAATGTGAGACTTCGCTTCCTTGGAATTGTTTTGCTATCAATCTCCAGTGGAAAGTTTTGTAATATTATTGGCAAAGTCTCTGTGACTTTGGTACCTCGACATTACAAAAGATACATTGCATGATAGTTTAGAATCTAACACATTCTTATAGTGGCAAGAATTAGGTATTCTTACACTAAGTAATAAGGATTTGGAATTGTGAAATAAGCATCATTGGAATGTTTTCAATTGATCTATTTCACAAAGTAAGGACCATATATAAACATAGTGTGCATACTTGGAGCATGGGATAACTAGTGTTTTAATTCAAGTATTAAGTTGATTAATCGAAACATTATACAATGAATAATGTGTAATCAATATGGTGATCAAATAAAAGGTGTTTTATTAATATTCAAAAGTTTTGAGACCATACTGGATTCGATTATTCTTAGGTTTCACTTCGCATCTTTTGACTTCCCGAATAATAAGATTATTCAAACTATCTATAGTCGATCATACTTTGGAAGTAGGTATTAAGGTACGACTGTCGTGAATCCGGCTGTAGATTGTGTAAGGTGTTTAGACATGGCACGAGTTTGCTGCAGTGTTCATGAGTACTCCTGTAATAAGATTTGAGTATTGGATTAAACCCACACTCACGTGAATCACTTCATGGATTTTATCACAAGTGATTAGTGAGACGTAATATCTTATATTCTTCAAACGGAGACATATAGTTGCAGTTTACAAGTCGCTTGCACATTGATGATATGAAAACGCACCAGTAACTTGGTGTTATAAAACGTATCATTCTGTGTGATTTGATGAGTAAATAGAGCAAGCATATGAGTCGAAGTTTATCCATTCCTTTTACCCTAAGAGGGATAAAAGCGATATCTGTGGGCTCCTCGATGATTTAGTGATAACACCGTAAGCGCTTGGCCAAGCCTGGACTGATTTGACTTGTTCAATTAGTCGGTCGTCATAAATCGGAAATCGGGAAACAACACATGAACAGAGAGAATAATTATAATCCATGTCTCAGTTCATACGATATCTAGAATGGAGGAATATATGATCCCTTATCTAGTGGACGCGCTATTGATTTGTTTAGAGTTCGACAACGGATTTTTGAGAGCTACGATTGCTGGTCGATTTTCAATTCGTACTTGCAGTTATATTTATTAGACTTATCCAAGTGGGTGACTGTTGGATTAGGTGTCTAAGCCCATAACTATAATTTGTATGTACTTGACCCTAGAGCAGCATGGTCCATTTGGGGTTGCCTTCATCAGGACAATTTGACAGGATGAATATTTGAGAAAGAGGTTATTTGTGATTTATTAATATATTATAAGTATAATATATTAGTTGTAAAGTCATATAATTTAATTAATATTGGTCAAGAATTAATTTGGAATTAATTTAGTGATCAAAAGAGACTAATAAACATGCAGGGACTGATTATGTAAATCAGTGATATTTATAGTGTGGGCAAATGATCCATGTTAATTAGAAATGACTAAACCTTTGTGAGAGTCCATGAAGAGTTAGTCCATAAGGCTAATGAGTTAATGGATTAAAAGCCCAAGTGAATTAAGGTTTACAAGTTTAAACCCTAAAGATTCCAAATTATAAATAGGGTCCCTAAGCTTGCAAAATCGGCCACTAGTACTCCAAGGTGAAAACCTAGCCGTTTTTGATGCTCCTAACCTCTCTCTCATTATCCTCCACTTGTTCATGGTGTTTGTGACTTGTTTGAGGCATCACACTTGGGGTGCTAAGCTCTTAAAGGCCAAGTTCTACAAGCTATAACAAAGAGGTAATCTTCCAACTAGTTTTTATGTTGTATATCTTCATTTGTATGCTAGTTATAGGTTTCATGATTTGGATGATTTTGTTGCATGTATAATTAGAGAAAACTTAGATCCAAGGTATTAGGGTTGTATGTGCACCATAGGATGTTAGAGTATATAAAACCCAACCGTTATCCGATTTAGGAAGCGGGCAAACTAGGCCCCAGGTTTATCGGTCCTTTCAGAATTATGGCCAGGGTAGGCAAGGTAGCCTACCAGTTGGACTTGCCATACGAGCTTAGTCAGATTCATAACACCTTCCATGTTTCCCAGTCGCGGAAGTGTGTGACCGACGAGATAACAATAGTACCTTTGGATGATATTCAGGTCAATGACCACCTGACTTATATCGAGCGACCGGTAGCAATTATCTACAGGAATAAGAAGACCTTACGTAACAAGGTGGTGGGCTTAATGAAGGTGCAGTGACAACACCGGAAGGGTTCTGAGTGGACTTGGGAACCCGAGGAGGAGATGCATACCCACTCCCCTGATTTATTTACTACAGAGGACTTCGAGGGCAAAATCTAATTCAAGTGGGGGAGAATTGTAAAACTATCATTCCAATTATTCATTTATGAGATTTAGCTATTTATTTTATTATTTAGCCTGGCCATGGCGTGGAATTGGGGTTCCACGGTGTGGCACTTGATGATTGAGGAATGCACGTCCGATTAGGCCACAATGTGACGTTATTTTAGCCACGGCGTGGCAGCCTTTTTGGGGCTAAAACCCTAATTTCGGGATTGGTGTCCTATTTAAGGGCACTAACTCCTAGGGTTGCCTTATTTGGCAACCTCCACCCTCTGAGATCGAACCCCATCCAACCCTAGCCTCCATTTTTGTGTTTTGAGTGCTTGAGCTCCATTCTTGTGAAGGTTGATGGAAGAAGGAGCCCTTAGTGTTGCTTGTGAGTGTAGTTTCATCTTAGATCCATCATCTCCATCTCATTTCTGACTCATTAAAGGTAAAAAGTATATACCTTGCTCATTATTTATCTAAATCTATTTCTAAGTCCTTTTATGAGCTTGTGGTCCCAAATCTTCTTGTTCTTGGAGTTTGGGTGAACTCCAGAACCCTTGAGTGCATTGTTAGCTTCTTGACCTTGTGGATGGTTAGAAACTTGGCTTGCTTAGCTTATTGAGTGAGTGAAGGCCTTGGCGTTGTCATTAAGAAAATAGAATTTGAGATATTGTCTTAATAGGATGTCTTATTGGATAAAGTTGGAAACTTTATCCATCAAGACCTTGAGGGAAACTGGATTTGAGATTTATAGCTTTTGGGATTGAGGAATGACAACTTCATCCATTAAGTTGTTGGTTCCTAGTGCCCACGACGTGGCTACAAGTTGCCACGTCGTGACGACTGGTATTTCTGCGACCATTTCACCTTGACATTGCCACGACATGGGAAATGGGTGGTCACGGCGTGGGAATGGTTGTTTTGTCTTAGGGTGCCCAAGAGGTGGCCTATGGATGGCCATGACGTGGAGACTTGTCAAAGTTGACTTTAACTGTTGACTTTTTTTTACCATGGTTGGCTTTTAGTCAATTAGGAGGTTATAGAGTGTAGATTGAGTGTGTATTTCCTTATTTCTAAATAGGTGTTCATAGTACCGATCTTCATCGTGTGAGAGTTGTTTTGTTGATGGTATCTACAAGGTGAGTCATCTCACTATACTATAGGACACTAGGTGTCGTTTGTGCATGTGTCTATGTGACTATTTCTGGTATGGTTGTATTATGTATGCATGAAGCCAATATGGGCTCGAAGTCACTATAAACTCGGGGTTGATAGATACATGATGGAGCCGATCTAGGCTAGGTATCATTATGGGCTCGGGGTTGATACGGACCCCGGGTTGTTACAGACCCGATGCAACTATGTGTTGCTATATATGTTATGTATGGTATTTTGGGGGAACTCACTAATATTTGGGATTACAGTCGTCGATATATTGTGTTTCAGTTACTTTAGATGATCGCAGGAAGGCGAAGGCTTGATTGTACACGTCCACCTGCAGTTTCTGAGATTCCGCATGTTTTGATACTACGATATTTTGGGATGCTTGTAGTTGATACTTTTGCTTTTCTTGAATTGGTTTTTGAGAAACATTATTTTATCCTTAATTAAAAATTATTTTAAAAAAAAAAATGGGATGTTACATAACCCGTTGCTTTGTTTTAATTAGGTTACTCTTTGTAGTATGTACGATGATAAAGATGGAAAGGAATTTAGTGCATTATGTAAGAGTGCATTGTTTGGGATTTTTAATTAATATAAAAGGATTCATTCATATCAACATGTAAAAAGTTCATCTTCTTAGCCTTCTCATTCATCTAGCTCTAGTACCCAAAGTTTTTATGATGCAAGTTTGTTTGGTAATACTGTTGATGCCATTAGATCACTTCGAGAGAAAATGTTAGCTGAGGTGAAAAGGAGGAAGGCAAAATCGGGTGTGGTGAAGGATTCTAAGTCTAAGTTAGAAAGATGCTTGAGAGAGAATAGTGAAGAAGATGATGAATATTTTCAGAGTAACAATTTCATGGTTCTGAGTTGGTGGAAAAAGAGGCGTGGTTTGTTTCCTATCTTATCCGTTGTTGCTCGTGATGTGTTAGCTATTTTGGTCTCAACAGTGGCATCTGAATCCACATTTAGTACCGAAGGAAGGGTACTAGATTCATTTAGGAGTTCTTTAACTTCAAAAATTGTGCAAGCATTAATATGTTGTCAAGATTGGATGCTCAAGTGAAGTTGAAGTCAATGTGGAAGAAAACATTGAAGATCTTGATCAGTTTGAAGATGGTATGTTGGTATTGACTTTTCTTATGTTTTTTGCAATTACATTATGTATTGATTTTAAAATGTTCTATTGTAGACTTGCGGCAATTGATGGCAGAATCAGCTGTTCTTGATATATAAAACATTGGCAAGCCATTAGGAACAACTTTGAACTTCATATTTTATATTTATTTGGAACTTGGAACTTGGAAGTTAAATTTTATGTATCTAGCTATTACTAGTACAATTTTATCATTTTATGTTTGAAACTTTGGATCTTTTTGTATGAAACTTTAGATCTTTTTTTTTTTTGCAACTTTAGGTTTCTATGTTAAAAACGTTATAATTTATCTTTAGAAAATTGCAACACTGTTTTTTTTAAGGTAAAATTTTGGTTTCCTTAGTTTTCACACCGAACCAAACTGAAATAGAATTTGGTTTTCGGTTTGGTCTAGAGAAGTTGAATCAAACCAAACGTATTTGAAAGCCACCATTATAATCAAGTATTGTAGGTTATGTTGGTTAGCTTGCATATTTAGAAAAAATAAAGTAATTTTTTGTTACATGGATAAGGTTAATGATTTGAGAGGGTAATGTACCAAACATCATGTAAACATTTAGTCACTAAATAATTTTTTGTATACGATGTACTGGTTAGCTTGCTTATTTAGAAAAAACTAAAGTAAATTTTAGTTACGTGGATAAGGTTTAATGATTTGAGAGGGTAATGTACCAAGCATCATGTAAACATTTAGTCACTAAATAATTTTTTGGATACGATGTACCATTAGACTCTTATAAACTATTGAAATACTACCATTATGACTAGGTATTGTAGGTAAATGATGATTTTTCATGTATGTGGATGATATGGATCTAATTTGTAATTGTGGACTTATACTTAATGTGTAATCCATCCAGCTTGCATCTCTTTCGCAAATGAGATATAACTTATTTTCATGTTATGTATCAACTCATTTGTAGGTAAGTGGTTTTGCATTTGTACATAAGGTCTGATACAAATGAGATGACACTTATTTGTAGGTTCTAGATCAACCCATTCTTGGGAAAAAACATTTTCTATTTTTTTGGATATTTCAAAAAAACTAAAATAAAATATTAAAAAGGAAAGTCTAATTCGAGAGGTTATGATAAAATCAAATGTTAAACCACTTGCATAGAATTAGTGCACACACTCAACCTTCTTCCATGATTATTTTTAGTCCAAAATACAAAGATTTGAGAGGACATGCCACATTTTGGTTGAATTTCAGTTTTCACCTACGTATTTGAGTTGGAGAACGCAGAAGAAGACAACACTTATGGAACATTGTGTGTATTTACATTAGATAGCTTACATCCTTACATAATGAATATAAGTCCACAATTACATATTAAATATATCTCAGACATATAGATGTTGAACCAACATTTCTATAGTACCCAATAATAATGATAGTTTTTGAACAACTAAATAGAGTTTATGGTAATTTGTGTACAAAAATTAGTTTAGTAAACTAATATGTATAGAGTTTATGGTAATTTGTGTACAAAAATTAGTTTAGTAAACTAATATGTATGCAAGGAATGTCATTATCACTATCAACATAATATCTACATAATTAAAATTTAATCGTTTTTTTTTTCAAATAATCAACACGTAACTGGTTTAACTTATAATACCCGATCATAATTATATTTTTTTGAACAACTTGAAAAAATTTAATAAATTATGTACCAAAATAGTTTATTGACTATATATATATATATATATATATATATATATATATATATATATGTGTGTGTGTGTGTGTGTGTGTGTACACAAGAGATATAATAGATTATTCTCGCAAACCATTAAACCAAGAAATCAAGTACAAATTTACTATGCAACTCTTAGCAAACCTAATGTAATAGATGTTGGTCTTGATTCTTTTTAGGGTTAATGACCTAGGAGGGTAACAGAATTTGGTTTTGGTCCACATTTAGGTAACCATGTTTTTTTCGTACACGTTTGACCATTAAACTTGTTTGGACTATGCAAAATAGGGTAATATGATTGGTAATTACTGGTGATATTACTCTATTATGAACAAATTAAGCAAGTTTACTGGTTAAATGTGTTCAAAAAAAATATGGTTAACTAAATATTGATAAAAAGCAAAGTTCATTACCTATTTTGGTAATATTGGGCTCTTTATGCTAAGTACAAGTATTCATAAGACCCACTGATGTGACATGGAATCGGGTCTTGCTGTCAGATCTAGATTAGGTTTCGTTAGCGGGTTCCTGACTTGATTCCTAGCTTCCATTAGAGAACAAAGTCGCTAGAACTGTCTCAATGATTGTTTGCTGGGAGCAGACTCCGACAATCAAGTTAGATCGATGTGTATAAGAAGATGGTTTCTCTTGTATGGAGAACCATCTTGGTGGGAAGAGTGTGTGTATATAGTGAAGGCTCATGCTTGGGAATGGGATATCCTCCTCATATAGGATGAGGTATTCTATTTATAGATCTTGGTCCATAAGAAATTAGGTTATGCTAAGGACATCCTAGTTCTGACCCAACTAATCGTGGGCTAGGTTGTGCTTCCAAGCCTCTAAAGCGCAATAAACTAGCCCCTTAAGTGTTGTAACGACCGTTTTGTAGCGACACGATGCTTATTAGTCTGTGACGTGGCACCACCATGGCCCAAAACCCTATAAATTGGCCCTTGAGCCCTATATAATGGTGTTAACTCTTAGGGTGTATGAGAATCTTCAACCTCCTTCTCCTTAGAAGAAAACCCTAGCCCCCATATATTTGTGAGAGAGTTGTGATGTGATTATGAGGTTTTTAAAAAGGAAGAGAAGTTAGGGAAGCTTGAAGGATTGTTGTCCAGTGAAGAATCCACCTTCTAGTTTCTTCTTATGCATTATAAGTGATAAAGTTTAATTCTTTATTCGGTATTATGCATAGATCTAGGATCTATCATGGTTTTTGGTCACTTTTAGTCATTTTGACCTTATGTTCTTGGAGTTTGAGCAACTTTAGATTGCAAATGTGCATGTTTTTGGTCTATAGGAAGAAGAAAGATGAGTGTGCTTGGGTTATTTTGCAACCATGCATAAGATTATAAGGTTACATGGATTTAATCAAGTGAAGGTTGTAGATTAGGATAGATCTAGCCCTTCGAAAGGATAAAGTTGAAAACTTTACCCATTAAGTCATTGGGAAGAATCATATATTAAGATATGAGCCTTGATATGTGTTGGGATATTTATTGTGTTGTGTCAATTTTGATTATGCATGTATTTAGTCTTTATTGTTATCGGATTGGGCCTGTCCATCCGTCATTATGGTGCTAGGGTTAGACTATAAATATAGCATGCATGTATCGTTTTAGAGTTAATGTTTTTGTAGCCCTACGTATCTTTACAGAGAAGTTCTAATCGAACTCTTCTAAGATATTGATAATAATGCATTCGACACACTTTCAATCACATTCAGTCTGTGTGTTGTTATTGTTTGATTCAACTAAACTGTTCTGAATCTATCGATCATTATTTTATTGTTTGTACAATTGGTATCAGAGCAGGAGATTGTGTAATACATACGCATATATTTTGTCGCGCTTTCTAGGGTTTTGAGTTTTTATCAGATCTGTTCTAGTCGTCTTCATCGTTTCTATCGATTGTAGACGTTAGATCTGAGTCATTGTTTTACCCTAAACTCGATCAGTATCTTACACATCTGATTCTTTACAGTTTCAATTATCTTGTTAAAGATGAATCCAGAAGATCCACACATTCTTTCTTTCAATCTTTCTAGCAGCATTGGATCGACTACCAAGATTCCAATCCTTTTCCCCACAAGACTATGAAGTTTGGGGTTTACACTTTGAAGACTGCGTTCTTGGTCTTGAAGATAACGGAATCCTAATATGGGAAGCTATGACGCAGCAAACCTTCATGCATACTGCCTCAAGAAAGATCGTTAAGACTCAAGATGAATACAACAATGTTCTTCTCAACACTAAAGAAGTTGCTCAAGATGAAAAAGAGAAGCTGCTTAGCAACATAAAGGCAATGAGAATAATCAAGTTTGCTTTTCCTCCAGACACGTTTTCGTCTGGTTAGTTCATGTGATACAGCGAAGGAAATTTGGGATAGACTGAAAGAATTCTATTCAAGCGATGCAGATCTTGAACACTCTGTTCAAACATTACTTCTTGCAAAATTTGGTTCTTTCGTTCAGAAGCTAGATGAGAAACTAGATCGGACCTTTAATCGTTTCAATCATCTATTGAGCATAATGCTGAAGCACAATCTTAAACGTGAAAACATTAAGCAGAAAGTTACTTTTATGAACGGCTTAAGATCTGAATGGAAAGCGATCGTATCAAAATGTGAAAGGTCATGAACAATTCAAGAGCTATTCTTTGGCACAGCTCGTGGGTATCCTTAGATCCCATGAAGACGAAGTGATGAAGGACATGAAAGTTGTGTCCAGTATGGGATCATTGGCTCTAGTTGCGAAGGGCAAAAAAGTTTCAGAAGACGATTCAGAATCTGATCTCTCAGATTTTGAACTTACCAAGGAAGAACAAGCACCGATGGTTTCTAATCCCAAAAGGTTCATCAAAAAGAACTTTGGACGATTCAAAAATAAAAATAAGTCAGGAAACTTTAATTCGTAGAAATCAAGGGATGAAGGCTTCAGAAGCTCGCAAAAGGATGAAGAAAAGCATGAGAAAAAGCTGCTTGGTGATTCCGGTTACGATTGTAACTACTGCCATGGTAAAAACCATTTTGCCAAAGAATGCACGCTGAAAAGGTTGAATGAGAAGAAAGAAGAAGAGAAGAATGAAGCTTACTATCTTCAAAAGATAGAAGAACTGAGGAAGAGAAAGAATGATGAGAATGCGAAACCCGCTTTGGTCGTGCAGGAGGAGGGGATGAGTTTCGATGAGTTGAGGTATGGTCAACTGATTCGGAAGATGAAGAAGTTCGAAAGCTGACACATGGAGAATGCTTTGTTGCGAAGGCTATTGGGCAGGAGTATGATAGGAAATGTTTGATGGTGCAAAGCGGAGTTTCGGAGCAGAAGGAATTCGCAACTGACGCCAGGTCATCCTACCGAAAGCTGTTTCGCAGCAAGG